GATTAGACTTTTTTTACATTTATTAGTTAAACTACGTGTTTAAAACTTTAATAATCTTCATGTGAAAATGAATTAAATGTGTTTTTGTGCTTTTGGACACATAAATAACTTTAACCAATAGTTTCTCAGGTTTTCATCTAACTAAAAACTAAGATATTAAACGTTTAACTCGGATCACATCCTGCTCACTGAGATTAAGATTTCATTTGTTTTTGGTTTATCTTCAGTCAGATTTGTTCCTCTGACTCAGCTCTTTTTAAATATCTTCATGGTTTTTTTCCTGTTTTGTCATTTTCTCGTGCTCTGTTCATCCGTCCACTGCCTGACTGCAGCAGCAACGTCTGGAGGAGGTAAACAAACCCAGAGATTATTCTGTATTACAGTAATCTCATCAGTCATGTGTGCTGTCCTCTAAAAGTGATGAATCGTGTTCAGCTGTACGTTCCAAAGCTGCTTGGACTCTTCATGACTCATTCGATTACTGTGATGACCTTCACTTTGCAGACAGGCTGCAGATACCTCTGCTCCTGGACTGAGTAAAACAGATTTTATTTTTGTAACACCTGCTGCCTTCATACCTGATCGTACTGCTGTCAGTTCATCCGATGCAGAGAAGGGGCGGAGCTACAGCTGCTTTAGACAAGAGCTCATAGAATACCGCGGGGTCTCTTAGAGAATGACCCTCACCTACTACCACCACAAATTTCAGTAAAATTGTCTGAGTTTGGAGTCATGTCTGTGTGGGTTTGTCCAACAGTTTTGAGGAAACATCAGGTTGTGTTGAATCTTCACTTTATCACAATTTTCCATCCTGAGCAGAACATGGAGACAGTGGGAAGAAACAACTCCCTTTAACAGGAAGAAACCTCCAACAGAACCAGAACCAGGATCTGCCTAGTTGGGTCTGAGAGGACAGGAAAGAAACTCAGAATAACCTGGTCCTGGTCCACGCTCACATGTGATGTTCATGTGTTTGTTCTTTAAGATGACAACAGGAAGTAGAAAGCTAGCTAAAAGCTAAAAGAAGGAGACAGTAATGGAAATAAAACTCCAAAAAGCAAAATGATAGCTAAAATCCAGTTGTAGAAAATGTTATGATTGTTGTCTGTATTAATGTTTTATTCTAGTTTTCTGTCTTGTCATCTGTTTTCTTCCTCCAGCTTGTCTTTGCTCCAGCCCCGCCCACTCTCACCTGCTCCTCATGTTTCTCTCCCAGGTGTTTCCTGTTTGTGCTCGTTAGTCTCACCTTTATATTCTGTGTCTTGTCTTCACTTCCCTGTCTGATCATTGTGCTGTTTTCAGCCTGTGATGAGTCTTGTTTCTTGTCACGCCATGTTTTGCCACTCCTAATGAGTTTATGAGCTGCCCTGTCAGCATTTTTCATATTTTTGCCTTTTAGAAGCTGCCTGCACCCTGGGTTCTTTCCAAGCCATTCATAACTGTAAAAGTCGAGCTAAAACCTGAGTAGTGTGAGAAGACATGAGAAGTCTCTCAGTCGTGAGCAGCTGAGGGTTGGAATGTAGAGGAACCAGGAAATACAGAACTTTGTCTTTAGACTCAGCTCTGTCTTCACCACACTGTCCCATTTACCCACAGACCCTGACAGATCACAGTCTTCCACCTCCAGATCCTCAAAGTCCGGACTGGAGAATCAAGGACCAGCTGCTGAACTGCAGGGACTCAATGAAACATGAATAGAATAGAATAGAGTAGAAACAGCCTTTATTGTCCCGCAGAAGGGAAATTCAGGTGTAACAGCAGCAGCAGATACATCAATCCACAAAACAATTTGCTATGCAGCATTAGTAGCGACAATAATGGAATTAAAATAATAATATTAAAAATAAATTAAATGAAATAAAAATACTATACATTGCAATAAAATTAAAATAACATAAAAATGAGATGGCTCTGAATTCTCAGATAATGAAAAGAATTTTGTTCAATGTGTTTTGTTTGTTGTGTTTCACATTGATTTCTTCTATCTTCACTTGTTTCCTGTTTCAGTTCAGAAAGAACAAAATAAGAGAGCATGCTCCGGACTCGGACTCTGACATGGACTCAGATGAAGAAAAACCAGATCTTCTTCTCAGACAGGTGRGTCAGAGTTTCATCGTCTGTTTCTGCAACAGTTAGGGTTTTATTCAGGAGCTGGATCCAAAGCAGTTTTCAGGTGGGTCTGCATGAAAGTAGGACCACCGAACTGACCACAGTTTGTAAAGAAAGGAATGTGAAACACGCACAGTATATATAAAATAATTCATAAAAGATTATTCCTTAAATCAATTTCCAAAAATATTGTTTGACCGCCCTGTCCATCACACACACAGCCACACCCCTGGCTCCATGTGGGTCAGTACAGTAGACCTGTCAGAACCAGGTTTAGGTTCTTGGACTATAAGTTTAACTTCCTGACTGGATCTCTCTGCAGGACCTAGCTGCAGCCCTGCTGGGCTTCGTTGGTGGGCCGCTGCAGCCAGGGGTTCTACAAACGTGTCTTCATACACTGCGGATCCTGTCCCGGGACCGCCAGGCCCTGGGGCCCATGGTCACTGACAGTGCTCTTCTGACCCTGGCACACCTAGGAGGTATTGACCCACTTCAGACCTGCTCAGAGCAAGATGAGGGACAAACCGAAGTTCAGTCATTTACAAGAGGAGAAGAAGAAGGCTGGGAGAAGGATTCCTGTTCTGGTTCAGGACTGGTTTCTGGTTCTGGCTCCACAACTGGTTCTGATCGTCAGCAGGGAGAGAATGAAGGTCGTGTGGAGCTAACTCCTGGGAAGAAAGATGCCCGGGAAGAAGACAGTGAGGAGGAAGAGGAGGAGGAAGAAGAGGCATGCAGGAAGGAGGCTGTGAAGGTTCTGTGTAACCTCATCTACAACAGTCCATGGGCCCAGGAGCGTGCCAGTACTTTAAGGTCATTCTACATAAAAACAGGTTTTTAAATCTCACTTTTAACATCACTGTGTTCTAAACCATACTGAAGATTTGGGTTTGTAAAAGCTTAGTTTGAGTCAGAAAAACTACAAAATATTTTTTATTTACCATTAAAGAGTAAGATGAGGTGTTTAAGCTTGTGTCTACACATCAGTCTGTCCATCAGGTCTAGGGGCAGCAGCTTGATCAGGGAGGTCCAGCCACCTAATCCAGATCTTCTAGGAGGATTCCAAGGTGTTCCCCAACCAGCTGAGAGACATAAGCCTCTTTCATAAGACAGCTCAGTCTTTGGATTGTGGTGGAACTAATACTTTTATGTTTAAGCTAGTTATTCATGACATCCTTTAATGACCTAGGTTTTCATGACATGCTGTTCATCTGCAGACAGAATGATTAAAGTCAGAACAAGATTTGCTAACAACAGTCATTCTTAGATATCACTTGTGTTTGTCTGTGTGTTTTCCATTGACCTTGTATCAAATCTTGCTAAGATGACATAATGGTGTTTGTTAATATATATGTGAGGCCTCTTGAGACACAGTGTTCAACAGTAGTGTGGAGAGACAGTGACAGAGAGCAGCAGAGKCACAGAGACAGGCCAGGTTGTTCTCTGTGTTTCCTGTTTCTCTCTGTCAGAACAAGATTTGATACAAGGTCAATGGAAAACACAAAGATAAACACAAGTGATATCTAAGAATGACTGTTGTTAGCAAATCTTGTTCTGACTTTAATCATTCTATCTGCAGATGAACAGAATGTCATGAAAACCTAGGTCATTAAAGGATGTCATGAATAACTTGCTTAAACATAAAAGTATTAGTTCCACCACAGGATCATTAAAAAAACATGTAGGCCTGGGTCTTCCTTGAGGTCTCCTCCCAGTCAGACATGCCTGAATCACCTTCAGAGGCGTCCAGGAGGCGTCTCTACCAGATGAACCACCTCAACTGGCTCCTCTCGATGTGGAGGAGCAGCAGGTCTRCTCTGAGTCTCTCCAGGAGAACTGAAATTCCTACCCTATCTAAGGGAGAGTGCAGTTACCCGGAACGCCTGTATACGTAATCTTCTTTCAGTCATTGCCCAGAGTTCAGACCATAGATGAGGGTAGAAACGTAGACCAATCAGAAAATAGAGCGCTACTCCTTTCAGCTTAGCTCCCTCTTCACCACAACAGAAACAAAGTCCACAAAACTGAGGATGCTGTAATGATCTGTCTAATGAGCTCACACTTCATTCTTCCCTCATCCATGAACAAAATACCTGGATATGCAAACTCCTCCACTTGAGGCAGAACCTCAACCCCAACCTGGAGAGAGCAATCCCTTTTCTGACTGAGGACCAGATTTAATGATGTTGATCCTCATCCCAGTTGCTTCAAACTCAGCTGTGAACCACTCCAGTGAGAGCTGAAGATCACAACATGATGATCAACAGGACTGTATCATCTGCGAATAGCAGAGACAGAATCCTGAGGTGGAGGTCCACCCTCCACCCTCTGGCCATAAAAATTATGAACAGAATCGTCCAACTCCCACCCTGAAGGGATCTGACTTATTGCCAGCTATGTGAATTAAACTATTGCCCTGCTTGTACAGGGACTGAATGGTCTGTAACAATGGACCCACAATCCCACACTCCCAGAGCACCGGCCACAGTGTACCTCAAGGAACATGATTGAATGCCTTCTCCAAGTCCACAAAACACATGCAGACTGGATGGGCAAACTCCCATGACCCCTCGAGGACCCTAGTGAGGAGGAAGAGTTGGTCCAGTGTTCCACGTTCAGGACCGAACCTGCATTGTTCCTCCTGAAACTGAGATTCCACCCTTGATCAGACTCTCTTCTCCAGCACCCCTGAACAGACTTTACTGGGGAGGCTAAGGAGAGTGATGCCCCTGTAACTGGAACACACTCTCCTGTACCCCTTTTTGAAGAGGGAGACCACCACCCCAATCTGCCAGTCCTGTGCCCCCGATGTTCATGTGATGTTGTTGATTCAAGAATGCTGCCACAGCCAGCAGACAGTAAAAACATACAAATTTCTAAAACTCAGTCAGTTTTACAAATATTAAGATCATATTTGGTGGTATTATCACTCAATCACAACATAAACACTATGACGAGACTCATCACGCTAGCTTAAAACTTTAGCACCAAGTGTTGGTGTCTACTCTGTTAACAAAACATCTCATGAACCCCTGGACAGATTTAATGCATTTTGAGGAGGTAACATTTAGATGTAGATCTACAACTCATTAACTTTTGGAGTTAATTCAATTCAAAATGTTCACGACACCTAATTTGTCCAACATGTAAATGGCTACAATTCAGTCAATTTTACAGTGTTAAACTGGGATGTGGTAGTAGCTGAGAGTGGTTCTGAGTCTGATAGCTACATATGAGTCACTAACAGTGGCTAGTTTTAGCTGAATATGTTAAATGAAAAGTCTGACTGTTTAGTGAACTCTAAGGTCAGCTGGACCTAAATGAATGTCTTTCATTTGGGAATTTTATTCAAATTTCTTCATGAGATCATTTAAAGTCAAATTATGTATTACTGTCCTTTCTATTTGTCTCTCTATGGTGCATAAAATGTAATTAATGATTTAATAATTAGGTGAGTTGGTTGATCAAAACTAGTGAAAAGTGTAGGTCAGCAGACACCAAATATATACAATATAAAAACAAACATATTAAAGTTGTTCATATAATTAGTTCAGATATTTTATAAATGAACTGATCTTAAATGACTGGGGTCATGAAAAAAAAGGTCAGCCTGAAGTTGACTAACTGATTATAATAAATATAAATCACAGCTGTGTAGTTCCAGAAGTTCAGGTTCTACAGAAAGAAGGTGTTCAGGTACACATGATGATGCTTCCAGCTGCTTAGCACCCCCTGGTCTCACTCTGAATGTCACTTTGTTCCCATGGAAAGGCTTCTGCAGGGACTGTGGGGGAGTCTGAAGCAGGGGATCTGGAGTGCGGTGCCCCCTAGTGGTCAGTTTTACAAACTGAGGCTTCTGTTTCTACTGACCGCCCTGAGGCCGGAGCTCAGATTGCAGCTGCAGCAGGTAAACATCACCTTCATCATTAGTACAGTAGGTAAACATCACCTTCATCATTAGTAAAGCAGGTAAATATCACCTTCATTAGTACAGCAGGTAAATATCACCTTCATCATTAGTACAGCAGGTAAACATCACCTTCATCATTAGTACAGTAGGTAAACATCATCTTCATCATTAGTACAGCAGGTAAACATCACCTTCATCATTAGTACAGCAAGTAAACATCATCTTCATCATTAGTACAGCAGGTAAACATCATCTTCATCATTAGTACAGCAGGTAAACATCACCTTCAGCATTAGTACAGCAGGTAAACATCACCTTCAGCATTAGTACAGCAGGTAAATATCACCTTCATCATTAGTACAGCAGGTAAACATCATCTTCATCATTAGTACAGCAGGTAAATATCACCTTCATCATTAGTACAGCAGGTAAATATCACCTTCATCATTAGTACAGCAGGTAAATATCATCTTCATCATTAGTACAGTAGGTAAATATCATCTTCATCATTAGTACAGCAGGTAAATATCATCTTCATTATTAGTACAGCAGGTAAATATCACCTTCATCATTAGTACAATAGGTAAATATCACCTTCATCATTAGTACAGCAGGTAAACATCATCTTCATCATTAGTACAGCAGGTAAACATCACCTTCATTAGTACAGCAGGTAAACATCATCTTCATCATTAGTACAGCAGGTAAACATCATCTTCATCATTAGTACAGCAGGTAAACATCATCTTCATCATTAGTACAACAGGTAAATATCATCTTCATCATTAATGTATTTGTATTAATGATGAAGGTGATGTTTACCTGCTATATTAAAATATATTTACAAAAATCATTAAAGAAGACAGAAGTTAATGTAAGTTTTTTGCCAAATTAAAATAACTTATAATAACAAATATACATGGTTTGTTTTGCAAATACATTTTTCCTAACATAGTTTCAAAACATGTACAATTCTAAGACTGACTGTTTTTAATTGTAATGYCTGTGACACATTTTACCGTAATTCATTTCACACCTGCCAAAATCTGCACTAAAAAACGTACAAAATACCAATTAGAATTTGTTGATTGTACTTTTTAAAACTACATCCAAACGTGTATTTGATAAAAAGTTTGTAAAAAGTACACCTGATTAATTTTTTTGTAAATATAAAAACATGTGACATTAGTAAACTTGACACACAGATATTTACTGTTGAAATATATCAAACAACTAAACCTCCTAGATGTCAGTTTATTTTATACCCAGACGTCCTGGGTCACAGAATCTTCAGTGAGCTGGGACCTGGATCAAAGTGGTTTCAGAGAGTCTCTGTCTGCTCCTTGGCATGGATCTGATCCAACAGGTTTTCCTTTGACTCCTCACCTCTCTGTCCCTGTCAGGAGAGGGGGGTGTCCGGTCTGACCAGAGCCCTGGAGCAGCGCCTACCTGTCAGGTGGGGGGAGGGACGCCAAGTCGTCTCTGATGGCCCCACCCCTCTCATCTCCAAGGACATGTCCCAGGATGTCAATGAGATCCTCAAGATCCTCTTCAACATCGCTCACAAGTTCCACAGGCAGGAGCCTGACGAGGTGAAAACATTAATCTCATTTGTTCACACGTTCATCTGAAAACTGCTCAGATTTTAAAAAAATCATGTGTTCACAGTTTAATCCTGATGGTGCTGAACGGCTGGTAGTATTTCAGATCTGTTTTTGATCAGGAAGGAGCTCGGCTCCATCAGGATTGTCTTAGTCCTCCTGACCTGTCTGAGCTCTGGTGGTCTCTGCAGGTTGGCTGTGGTGACCTCATCTTTCGGTTTGATGGATTGATAGGATCTCTGTGGGATCTTCAGGGTCTTGGAGATGATTTTTTAAATTCTCAAAAGAAATTTTCTCCACATCTTTGTGTCTGACCTGTGGGGATTGTTCCTTGGTCTTCATGCTGTCCGTTGTTTGGTGGTGGACAGCACTGCAGTACTTAGAGCTGTTGACTCTGCCTGTGGATCTTTGCTGAGATCATTGGACATTTTGATTTTTTTAACCGATGAGGGTCAGAGATAACCGTAAGTACTCAAACCACCTGGAACGTCCTGGTCTGCTTGGATTCCTGAATGAGACCATTAATGTTACTATAGGTCAGTGTGTTAGATGATGGATTCACTGAAATAATGATCAACTCTTGAATGAAACCAGAGAAAAGTCTTTTACAATATGTATTTAGGAAAAGATTATAGCAGCAGAGAACAGCTTTAAAGAAGATGTGACAGAGAAAAAAACACGAAACAAAGAAGTATATTTTGATTTGTTTGGTTTGAAGGGGTTTGATGAAATAGCAGGAGATAAAGTGATGTTTTTTAATCTGTCTGCAGCCTTGACACATTTCAATTTAATGACATTTTCTTTATGACGTGTCATGGTCACGTACCAGACTCATGAAATATTCTATAGAATCATTGACATAATATAACTGTCCACTGTCCTTCTGTTCTAATGTCCCCCTGTCCCAGATCAAGACAGAAGGTGATGTCTTGTTTCTGTTGACCTCAGTCAGAAAATACATTATGTCTCAGATCTGCTCATTCAACTGGCTTCTTTCACATTTKACAGAGGTCACACATTTACTGTTGACCTGAGTGTGTATGTGGATGGGTTTTTCATATGAGGATTATTTTAGTACAAAACACCTACCRGTACATGTGGGGACCACTGGTACAAATGAGGCAGAGTCCCTGTTTGGTTTAAATGCCATTAGTGGGATGGGGGGTCAGTTTAGGACCAAGTTATGAATTGAGTTTAGGTTAGGTTTAGGGTCAAGTAAGTACCCGCGAGGTTAGTTTTAGGGTTGAGGGTCAGGGTTAGGCTGTAGAAATTAATGGAAGCCAAGGTGGACACAGCTGTGTGTGTGTGTGTGTGTGTGTGTATGTGTGTGTGTGTGTGTGTGTGTGTGTGTGTGTGTGTGTGTGTGTGTGTGTGTGTGTGTG